TACTCTGAAGAGCTGCAATCAGACGACAAGCGACGAGCTTTGCGTGATGGAGATAGCGAGGAAGGATGAAAACTCATACAGAATCTAACTCAGTATTGGACTATATGTTCGCTTTCTCAGCTGAGCCAAGGAGTTCACACACACAACGTTGAAATCAACAACAAATGTACAGAAATTTTCCCAAATTTTCCTTACAACCGCCTTATAATAACCAAACACGCGTTCATCCAAGGCAAATCTCTTCGAGATAAACCTCATATATGTTACCAACACTTCAGCTTTATTCTTGCATGAAAAATACAATTTTCGATTCTATCAATTATCGTCTTCGGCAACAGCACCAGCAGGAGCAGCAGTAGCAACATGCATAAATTACAGATAAATTCTTTGACGTGCCTACAACCGATGACCCAGCGTTGATGAAATGCAAGATTGCAAGAGGACGCTCACTTGAATGGGGTGCCGACAGCTTGGACAGTACTTTAGACGCGAAGAGCATTCCGCACAGAGGACGTGACCTGAGACGGCGGAGGTCGCCGGTTCGATTCCCAGCGACGGCATTTCTCACCGCATGGCGACAACGATGTGTTCCACATGTTCTCAAAGCAGACGACACACAGCGGATCGTTTGCTCCTGAATAACGAAAATGACAAACAAAAAACGCTTCGCTCCGCTAGAGGCATCACCTTGTCGTAAACCGAGGCTGCTACTATCAGTATCGCCACTACGCTGCTGCTGTAGCTGACGCATAGCTAGCGCCAAGTGGACCTATCAAGACACGATGTGAAGGAAGAGTGGTATGACACCATACAACGATTAATACTATTTGTCAAAATTTGCTAAAATTTATTTGTAGTCGTAAAAGTTGCATAAACCAACTTGATGATCCAATGACATATGGAATCACACAGAGAACCCATTCTGACCTTCCTCGTCGCTTTCACGATAGTAGAATATACGCCCTCCAATTCTTCCGAACTCAATTCCTGCATATCGTATTCGCCCATGAGCAAACTCTTGGATCGTCTGGCTGCACGTAGTGACTGAAAAAAGATCAACTAAACTTCGGGAGTCACGACACGATCATGCATAACGACGGAGAGTTACCGTAATAGACGATTTTGATGACCTTAGAAAGGCTGTAGCTTGCCGTGCACTCCCGAGGCGGTGATTGCGTAAAAATACATTTTGGACGGGTTTTCTATCGATTATAATTCCCATCAACTCCCAACGATTATATCATCCGCGTAAAAACATCACAGATCCTCCAACACCGTCGGGTTCTTGCCTACCTCACTAATAGACAAGTACTCCTCCTTCTGAGCCGCATAGTCTTCCGAATAACGATTGCAGTCGGCCTAATAACACAAATGAGATTCCTCCAAGAATCGAGTAAGATCAACTTCCACTATAAAGAGAAAAATGAAAAAAAGGGTAGAGTAGTGTGAGGAAGAGAGGGATCCCCACTGAATCTGAACATACCACCGGGACAACATAACGCTAGTACTAGTGAAGTGCCTATGGCCTCTGGGAATACAACAACGACAACAACAACAACAACAACAACAACAACAACTTTGGCTACCCTCAATTGCTCCAACTGATTCCAAGACTCTTTCAAACACTCACTCGACATAGCAGCTTTTCCACGAAGTTCTGAAGCTTCCACAATCAGCACGCATGCGCAAAGATACCCGCTTGCTGCTCACTGGTGATTTCCTCTATCAGTGCGTCACAAATCTCCACCGTTTTGTCAGCCAGATCAGCTGCGTTATACCTATCCCGCTAGACATTCCCAATGAGCTGTGATGAGACGGCAAGGTAGCCGAGACAGGCGGGCGTAGCGAGTAATTTCCGGGCGCGTGACGATTTATCTCCGGCTGTCTCCCTCTTAGCATTACACCTGTGCTCCATCCTCCTCCTCTATTTCGCTACCATCATTGCTTCCATCGTCTGGAAGAGAGTTTATAAATTGTCGCGCGCCACAAAATTCATCTCACCCGATAGCGATGACAACCTGTTCACCTCCCGCATATCTTTATCGACCGTTTTAGACGATCCAACGTGGGACACGCCCCCCAGTGCCGCCTGATCGAGGAAAAAAATCCGTTTACGTACTAAATCACCCGAGGAAAAACGGTCATGGTCAGCGTATCAGCAAATTTCCATTCGTTTGACACATACCGACATTGGCTCGCCTCACAATGACCGTTGAAACACGGGTAAATTACTCCGATTCCGGAATAATTTACCTGTCTAACTGTGGCCTTCGACAACGCAGTAGCAAGCTTATCCGCAATCGCTTCAACCTCCTCAGGTGCCATAGCATCCAGCTCTTCTCCCCGGTACCTTACGAGTGTCACAATTCCCTTTCATACGACTACTCGAATGACTCTTGGTCAACCACACGCGCTGGTGACAACATAAAAAATTGCGAAAATTCTGTTTTATTTCCGCACACTTCTACCCCAGTTTGCATATAAACTTTCAATTCGCCAACCCAGCTGAGGAAAGCGAACATATATCCATTCAACGCTGACTAAACCTAAATAATCCAACACTTGAAAACTCGTGTCACCAATACGTGTCACCCCAACACAGACCTCTTCAGTTCCTGTTGTAATCGACTGAGTTCGCTCCTGCCATGTAACGTCCTCTGTCGGCGTCTGATCAATCGACACTCAAGACTCTCAAATCTGACACCAATACAAAATCGTTTCTTTTCTGATGTGGACATAATCTGCACTACCGTGTCACCGCTGCTATCACCGCCTCATGCGTAAGCTCGCATTTCTCAGCATGCGAGGCCACAGCACTTCGGAGGTCACTGAAATCTTCAACTCCAACAATCGGCAACTACTACTATTTAAGTACTCAAAGAGCTGCGATGCACTGTCGACCCTTGTTGCGATTTCTTCTTCTGTTTGAGAGTCGATGAGGCCGATGACGCTGAGAAAAAAAAGACATTCTGAAAATTCGCAAAAAATGTTCGCTCTCCTCAACTAAGCTCAATATTTTCGTCACTAATTATAAAAGTTTATATACGATTTGAGAGAATATATACGATAAATGTACAAAAACTAACAAGGAATCCCCAAAATTTCCTCAGAATTTTCATTTTGTCACCAACACATGTGGTTGACCATGTGCACATTTTACCACACTGCTAACGATACACTATGCAAGGCGACTTCCAGAGAGCTGAAACTTAGATTAGAATCCACTATCAATGTCATTTAAAAACGGCCAAAAATTGCAACCCTGTATCGGAATAATTCACCCATTTTCACTTCCCACCGTTTACCACGCTTCCTGCGGTAATTGACTCCACTCCTTCTGAGTTTTCCTCTCGGCTGTCATCAACGCCTTCGTCGACAACGTGCTATCTCCACCACCACTTTGGGTATTCAATCGAATGCCATTGTTACTCCCTGACCCTGGGCCTGGACGGGGCAGTGAACAACAACAACAACAACAACAACAACAACAACAACAACAACAGCAGCAGCAGCAGCAGCAGCAGCAACAACAACAGCAGCAGCAGCAGCAGCAACAGCAACAGTAACAGTAACAGTAACAACAACAACAACAACAACAACAACAACAGCAACAACAACAACAACAGCAACAACAACAACAACAACAACAACAACAACAACAACAACAACAACAACAACAACAACAGCAGCAGCAGCAGCAGCAGCAGCAACAACAACAGCAGCAGCAACAGCAACAACAGCAACAACAGCAACAACAACACTCACTTTGATTGCCGCCCCTAGTAGAGACAGTACTAGAACTCGAGCTGTTCCCAGTGACAGGGTCCTGAAATAAATCCTGTTAAGAATCACAAACACCAGTACTGTCTGACGCAAACGAAATACAGTTTATAAGATCTAAACACTTGAGAGCTATAACGTTTTAAGAACTAGAACGTTTTAAGAGCTAGAACGTTTTAAGAACTAGAACGTTTTAAGAACTAGACACTAAACGACCTGAAAGACAACCAGAACAACTACAACACTCCGACAGAAATTCAATTCTCCACATCATTTCCTATCGTATAGCAATTCCTTACTTTCTGTTAGAATCTCAAAAATTTTGATAACAAGATTCATTTCAGCAAATCAATCACTGAAACACTTTACCTCGGGACTGGCCAGCTCATGATGTCTCCTATTATTAGTGAAAATCGGCAGATCATCGATTCGGGCACTTGGTGATATACAGCTGACTTGCCGAGTGACCGCAGTACACGTGCCCAGCATTGGCGAAAGAGGAGCCACTGGCGACCCCATAAACAGTCCGCCTGGTTGGGGGAGTATCTGAGAAAATTCATACAGCAGGAGGGTTGGAGTAGGAATATATGTTCGCTTTCCTCAGTTGCTGAGCTCAGGAGTTTCCTATACAGTGTTGGAGTAGGAATATATGTTCGCTTTCCTCAGCTGCTGAGCTCAGGAGTTTCCTATACAGTGTTGGAGTAGGAATATATGTTCGCTTTCCTCAGCTGCTGAGCTCAGGAGTTCACATACGAATTCGGGAAACCAAAAAAATCAAAATTTCTCGAAAAAAATTCCTCATAATTCTCATATTGTCACCAACACATGTAGTTGACCATGCGCCTAATTTCCCAGTCGATTTCGCATTCCTACCTGGCGCCTGTCAATTTCACCACTTCCTTGCTGTTGTTTGAGATGAGCGTTCATCACAGTTCCTGGCGGGCCTGGGTACACTGTACGACCGGCGTTTGGAAAGGGCGAAGGGGGCGGAAAGTAGTTCATACTAGTGACACTATGAATCTGTTTGAATATCAGTGTTGGAACATATGCTCGTTTGCCTCAGCTGAGCTCAAGAGTTTCCTCACTAATAATAGAGATATATACACAAATTTGGGTAGGAGTGTTCCGAAATCAACAACAGTCTCTCGAAATTTCCTCAAATTTTTCATATTGTCATCACCGACATATGTAGCTGACCATGTGCATATCTTGCCACACTGTTAAGATAGCCATACCTAGAGTCAGTGTGGTAGAATATGCACATGGTCAACCACATGTGTTGGTGATGGCAGTATGAAAATTCTGAGAAAAACTTCGGAAAATTTTTGTTAGTTTCTAAAAAATTATCGCATATATCCTTCCGACTCGTAAATTAACTCCTATAATTTGTGAGGAAAATATTGAGCTCAGATGAGGAACATTTTTTGCACCACTGCCTAGAGTCTAATAAGCAGTGTTGAAATATATGTTCACTTTCCTCAGCTTCCTTCCCTGGTCAAGTAGTTGCAGTTTCATTGATTATTTCGACAAGTGTGCGAAATAGTAGTATCTGTAAAGATAAAGACATATCATTTGTGACAATATTACTAAGGGGTGCTAACAGGCTGCGAACATTACAGTTCCACCCTAGTGATACAAAAAACACTAGTGAAAAAATCTATTTCACGACTACTGCGTACCACCGCGAATATCGCGTTTTTCACGCCACTTCACGTAAAACGGGTGATGAAACTCCGATATACTTAAAGGCAATAGAGTTTCACCCGTTTTACGTGAAGTGGCGTAAAACTCGGTAAAAAACGCGAAATTCGCGGCCTGTAGTAGTCGTGAAATATGTTTTTCACTAGTGATTTTCATATCACTAGAGTGAAACTCCAATATACTCATTACCTCATCCTCACTACCTGTAGAATTGTATTAGCATAGTACAACTTTTTAACGACAATTTGAACAATAGTAACTTCTACTTCACTCGGCCGCTCAGGAGTAACTATTGCTAAAATGCGCTGGACCTAGACTCTCTAATATTTATCTCAACATGAAACTTTCAAAATAGAGATATACGTTTAACGTGGAGTGGCGTAAAACTCTATGAAAAACCCGATATCTGTGAAAAATATGTTATTCAAATCACGGGTGAAACTCCATTATTAGTAATTTTACGAAGGGGAGTCAGTAAGCTGGGGAGAATACCACAGTCACCTTATCCACGTTGTTTTAGCATAGCTATCCTCATATCTTTGGTCGTCGCTCGCCCGACCGTTTTGCTCAGTACTACGCGCAATTCTGGAAACGTTGCTGAGAATCGATTTTAAGAAACGATTCTGAGATGGTGTTCAATAAACACGATTTTGAAAATCCACAAGCGATTCTGGAAGTGATTCTGAGCTTCAGAATAGGTTTATTAAACGTGCGGTAAGAATTCGAGCAATCGTTACTATTAAAGTACGTATTAAGATTGAGGGTTGATCTCTCTCCTATGGTTGTGTTGAACGATGATAATCTCGACAACTCTTCCAATACGACTAACGAGTCCGTAATGGCCAATGAGCATATAGCATAGCACACCTTTACAACGGCGAAGATAGAATTATAGATTCTCGTTTAGTAACTTAGATAGTGAGGAGGTCAATGAACTACATTTTGTAAACAACTGTGTAGGAATTTTAGTTTCAAAACTCAGCTGTGAACAATTTCAAATTTAGGAACTTCTATTCGGACACATACTCTCCCACTCAACCAGGAAGACCTGGAGGCCCTTCAGGGTCGATAATCGATTAACTTCCAGGCGGTTGCAATGCGATTCAACCTACTCTACAGTGTGTCGTAAGATACGAAGGGTGGTGCGGTACGTATAACTATGCACGCATGCACAAAATGCGCAGTATGCCTCCAAGGCGAGCGCTTTTGACGGCGATTAGGGTATCTTGAGGTTGACCTTAGAAGATACAGAAGAGGCCCACTCACACACCGCGGCTCAGTGTGGGAGGATGCGCACATGGTCAACTATATGTGTTGGTGACAATACGAAAATTGTGAGGAAATTTTGGGAAGTTCTCGTTAGTTTCTGGGCACTTACCTCAAGTGTAATTGTTACATTTCATGGAAAGGAAATTACTCCCCTTACTAGTAGGTCGGCCTGCTGCCTAAACTTCCTCACTAGAGTGAGGAATGCGCGGAAAGATCTCACATATGCCGGCGCTGTAACAAGAGATGCGGACGAGTTGAGCGTGTGGCGCCGGGGATTGTTCCCACCTTAGTGATTTTCTTTCCATGAAATGGAACATTATTAGGAAAATTTGTATAGTGAGGAAATCGTGAGCTCAGCTGAGGAAAGCGAGTATATTTTCGTCTACTTCTCTCCTCAGAGGTCATTCCTCTCTGCTTGTCAATGGTGTCCAACACGGCACCGCCAACCTTCTTGGCGCCCGCCACCGTCCAGTCCCATGGATTCCTAGGTAGGTCCATACCATCCTTCCGTCACTTCCTAGTCCCCTCCCCCCTCAGGCTGGACACTATTCATCCTCTTGTTATTCATCGTCGCTGGCTTGCTCTACTGGCACACACAGAGCGGCCGCAAAGGGCCGAAAAGCGCCCGGTCGACAACTCGGCGGCCTACTAGGGTAGAGCCCTCCATCTCAATTGTTATCGAAGGATGGTGTCAGCGTCAGCCGTAGTTGGAGGCGAGAGGTAGAGCGAGGCATGGCGACGTGTGAGTGGAAAGGGCTGCTGAAATGTCTTTCACAGTGGCCAATAATTGACGGTGTGGTAGTAGCATAAAATTAATTGGCTACGATCGTGCTAGACATAACCATACCACTCCATGGTGAATTCTCTCTCATCAGCCATGGGGAGGCCGCCACTGCCGCCAGTGATGGTCTCTGGCGACAGCGTTCTCGCAGTGAGAAGGCCCTCGACTTACATCGAGGGGAAGAGGAGCACACTTTCTGCAGAACGAGTAGGGGGATGCTCTTGTTGTGGGTAGGAGGAGTCATGATACAGGTGGCTGAAGTTACCGATGCCCTATTAGAGAAGAGAATAGGTAGTATGGTGTAGTGGTAGAAGTTGGGTTTATTATCCACTCGATACCGAGTTCTATTCGTTGATGAGTCATTTTATAGGTTTTGATTATTCTTCTACAGCCTCCAACTGGGATACTCAAAATGGTAAGTTGACCAAACTAATACCACACCTTCCACACATCAGCACTCTCCTCTCATCTCGTCTCAGATGCTTCTTGGAAGGCCGTAACTAACAAGAAGGTAGCAACAGACATCCTACTACAACTCTTCCCATTCGATTCAGGTCCCCAAGGGAGCCGGCAGTGAAGCGTCCACGGCTGTCGGGAGGTAGCGGCTGTTGAAATTCCAGCTCCAGCTCACCCGAACCATCTCAGCTCTGTTCCTTCGAATAGCAAACGTCTCCATCCGGTATTCGCCAGGAAGTTCTCACAAGAGAGAACAACCGCGACTGGTCCGAACGAACAGGCGAGGACGAGTGATGAAAAATGTCCGATGAGGTTGCGGGGAATGTCCTCATTGGTATCTTTTAGGTGAAAATTCTTCCGTGTGAGTGTTTTTCACCGCAGCATTTTCGCGCTGTTATTTTCAGCTGTGGCATGTTCTTTTGTGATTGGTGTGTGTCGGCATTTTTCATAGTATTGTGTTGAAGGGAAATATGATGGCTGTAGTTCATTAGAATGGCTACTGAGGAAGGCCATTTTCCGGCCTTTGAGACTCCAACGGGGGAGCAGCTTGGAGTCGTCCAAGCCCACTGGTTACCGGCTTTAGCACAAGGAGGAGCTACGGGCGCAGGGCTGATAGGCAAATGTGCGCTCACCGGGGATCGAACCTGGGACCGTTCGTAGTACATTCTTAGGTCGAGTGAAGGACTATTTCTTGATGGAGGACGAGATGGGGTGGGTGGGCTCGGGAGCTCTTGTCTTGTCGCCTCATCTGAAGGGCGTCCGTGGAGACTCATTGGGATTTGCAATTGGTGTGGTATTAGAAATCAACTTGTACATTTCCTGGGAATTGCTTTCGATTCCGTAGAAAAATATTCGATAATTATTTCCAGAATCGATCTTTACTTGTAGTATGGTCTTCATTGTCATTTCACAGTGCTTTGTGGGAGAGCAGATCCTCCGTCTCTTAGCAGTGAATCTCAACAGCTCTGCATGGACCATGGAGCCTTTGTTGCTGCTTATGAGCAGACACGATTGAATGGGAAATCATGGACTACAGTAGATTCTACCGCAGATACGATGGCAAGGCGAGCAACAAGTTGTCAGCCTTTCGTGGACGGGAGCTGAGAGGAAAAGATCTCGACTGTGGCGATTTCCGAGGGTAGGTCTCGAGAGGAGCCGCGTGAAGTCGTAATGAACGAAGGTTAGTTGAACTGATGAGTTTATTCTCAGTCATGTTGTTCTGAAGAAGGTGGACGAGGAGAAGACCACGGAGCTTTTCGACTGCGTCAAGTGACCATTTTGATATCCTCAGCATCGGCAGTGATCGTCTGGGCAGGTATGTCACCAATGGTCCAGTAGTTGAGAAAATCACAATTTGGAATCACGATGAGGTCCCTCTGCGATCGGATGAGGTCTGTCGCTGCCCTGTCTCACAGCAGCATGTGCGGCTCTCTCAGGCACCACAATGCTTCGCCTTGGCTCGAGCGATGGACGCCTTTGGTCGGCTAGCAGTAGCCACCACTGCATCAGAGGTCGACAACGAGCTGTCGAGGTCCTCATGAATCTGAATCAATTAGCTTTCTGCCATAGTTGAGGTAGCGTTTTACCCCGGGGAAAAACATCTACTTTGTGCTCTTCGACTGGTTGGTGGTTCCTCTGAAGTTGATTGCCTCGGTTTGGCCCTCTTGGCCCACGCTGACCAGGGCCGTTGTCGGACGCGGCTTCCACTGAAAGGTTGCGGTCTTTGAGAGGCTTGACGGCTCCACGCAAGTCGAGCAATCGCGTCGCTGTTGTCGCTTCCTGCTAATATGAAGAACATAAATTTTTCGCTCGGATTTTCCACGAATCAGTCTTAAGTGATATGGGCCGCAGTCTCTCTGTTCAGTGGATCAAAACGCCAGGACTTGTGTACGGAGAAGCGCTTCTGGGATCGTTCTTGAACAGGAAGGGATTGTGCAGAAATATTATAACACTTCATCACAATGTTGATCCCTTCACGACTGTCGCTGATCTTACTCGTGGAGGTCTTGAGGGTGACGGCGACGCCTATGACGACTCCAGCGGTCACTGAGAGCCGCAACGTCGTCAACAACGTGCTTGGAGGGGTCGAGGAGTACCGAAACTTGACCCATCAAAACGTAACTCGTTCCTACTACGTCTACACTCCTAACACAACAACAAGCACAATTCTGTTCAACATTCACGGCTTGGGTGACTCTTGCCATAATTTCCGTCAGGCTAGCGGCCTGGTGTACTTGGCCGATGAGAACGGCTTGGTAGTGGTGACACCATGTGGGCTGCCCAACCGCTACTACTTCAACTCCTTCAACGCTGGAATTTGCTGTCAGACCAACAAGCAGGTGGACGACTTTGGATTGATGAAAGCAATCCTCTCCGAAGTCAACCCTTCGAACGCTTTGCCTGTTTACTCTGCAGGATTCAGCAACGGTGGTATGATGTCTGAGGGTCTCCTGTGCCTCAACATAGTCACCAGGGCGGTTTCCGTGAGTGGCGTCGAAGTTCTCGAGCCTGGTTCGGCTGAGGGCATCAAAACTTGCACTTCGAACTTCACAGAACAGGAAGCGAGAATGTCCAATGTACACGGCACGGCTGATTTCCTCGTCCCTTATGGTGGCAATCGTCTGCTTGGATACCCTCCCATTGAGGACGACATGAAGGCGTGGTCATCTAGGCTCGGGTGCAGCATTAACTACACTAAAGTGAGGACTGACGAGGAATATGATTTCTTGGAGTACACTGGTTGTCAACATGCGGGCTCCAGAGTTCTACTCGTTCGCCACAATGGCGGCGGTCACAAGTGGCACGGATCTGGCCACTTTGACACCCCCCAATTCGTGGTCAACTTTCTGTTGGGGAGAACTGAAACAGCATCGCAGGATACCGAAGACGAGCTTGAATATGTCGTTGAGCGCTCGTGAGTCTTAGGGGAAGTTCGTCCAGTTCTGTGCATATGATTGAGAATTTTTTACATAGTATGACATCCCCTTTATCTCTTTGCAACCTGCATCAATTGCTCGGAGAGGGATTGAGTTGTGTTCTGCATCCACCATTGTCATCAGCAAGATGACAGTGAAAGATGTCATGCCTTGGTTATACCAAGGCATATCTTGGGGTAGTGGTGGCATAGCCGCCCCGGCCGACAGAATTGATCTTACTAACAGCGAAATTGATTGTACCAAGGCATATCTTGGGGAAGTGGTGGCATAGCCGCCCCGGCCGACAGAATTGATCTTACTAACAGCGAAATTGATTGTACCAAGGCATATCTTGGGGTAGTGGTGGCATAGCCGCCCCGGCCGACAGAATTGATATTACTAACAGCGAAATTGATTGTACCAAGGCATATCTTGGGGTAGTGGTGGCATAGCGGCCCCGGCCGACAGAATTGATCTTACTAACAGCGAAATTGATGGTACCAAGGCATATCTTGGGGTAGTAGTGGCATAGCTGCCCCGGCCGATGGAGGGAGCTATCTTATTTATACTCTCAAATATCTCCTCCTCCTTGTGAGGTCTGTTTGTAGTTGGCGGTTACTATTCCGCAGCATCGGAGACGACAAACAGTTCGAATTATAGTAGTCAGCGGTGGCACATTGATAGAGGGATCGTAGTGATCACGACGTAGCTCTGTGCAGCAACTGTATAGCTGCTGTATCCAACACGATAATGAATATCTCAGAGGAGCTTGCACAACAGCGCCTTCATGTTGGAGAGCTCTAACTGGTCGTCATCATCCAACCTTAAGTGTGATATCAAGCACTTCTCGCCACCCAACAACCTCGGGAGCACTCAAAAGTGCTACTCAGATATCATGAAAGCTGTGGCCATCAGGTGGCAGTGTACGTCTATGAAATCATATCATCGTTTTATTCCAGAAATACAAAGCCAAGTCATCAGCCAAATGTTTGCCTCAGACCAGGCGAATTTTACTATGTTTTATGGAATGAGAATCCCATAAAATATTTCGGATATTATCTTACTATAAGATAGTATCCGAGATATTTTATGGAGCTTCCCGGACGAGCTGAAGCATCATAGGTGATCCTCATATAACACGGACGCTCAGTCGCAGAGGCGAGCCATTGCTTTGGCGAGCGCTGCATAATGATTTCGAGCATCAGGA